GCTGATTAATGAAAAGAATGTTGGTACCTGACAAGTTAGGAGCAGGCCACTATACATGTGGAGCAGATAGTTATCCTCCCAGCCTGTCAGTTTCTTTCCCTGCACTGTTCCATCATGGAATAATTGATCCTTCTGGTTCCTATGTTCTTTTTTTTTTTAGTCTTCTTGTTTTAATTTTTTGATTATTCCTCACTAAATCATTCCTACTTTCATTCATTTTATGTCCCACGTTATCTCTGTATTTAGAATGATATTCAGGTTCTAGGTATACTATTTAATCATTTTTTAATTGCCTCCCAATATTGAATCTTTTATTTGCAGTAAACACGTTTGATGTTTTAATTCATTAGGACTTGTTTTGTTTTTTTTGTATCCAACAATTTCTATTCAATTTCCACTCTGTATTGTATATATTGTAATTATAACAGTGTTGTATGAACATCCACTACTAGCATTATCTTTATTGCTAGGATAAGGCAAAGGTCTGCTTCCATGGAGATCAAAGAGGTTAGTTATTATTTCTTTATTTCAGATATTAATTTAGTGCCAACAAATTACGCAGCGCTTTACACACGTGCAGTGTGTAAAGCTCCGCGTAATTTGTCCGCGCCAAATAAATAACTGGGCTATTGCCCAGTCATATCAGTCCCTGCACTCAAGGAACTTACAATTTAAAGTCCCGATTGTACATACAGGGTCAATTTAGACAGGTCTTTGGAGTGTGGGAGGAAACTGGAGTACCTGGAAGAAACCAACACAAGCACAGGGAGAACATGCAGATAGTGTCTTGACCAGAATTCATACCAGAGACTGTCAGTACTGCATGCAGAAGTGCTAACCACTAAGCCATCAATGAATATATCTTGTGCCTGCCGGATACAAAATCAGGTGGTTGAGTCTAGGAGTATTTATTGGTCAGGGTGAGGGTTGCTGTACAACATATATTATTATCTGATCAAGCAAGTGATAAAAACAAAGGAGCAGACCTGTTGCTTAATTCACATATCCTGGAGGCTCCTTGATGAAGATAGTTTTCAGCTTACAACAGTCCAGGGCAGTTAGTATAAATCATGGGACCCCATAGAAAAACTTTGGAGCCCCCAGCTGGGTACACACGGAGTGATTTTTGGCTGATTCAGCAGGAATCGGATGAAATTCGCTCAACTGGTGATCCTATTCCCTTGGCAGAAGTCGATCATTAGATTTACTTTTGCCAAGAGAACATGTTGGCAAATCGTCAGCCAAATGGTGCTTGCAGCCGTTTGGGTATTCTGACAGCAGCTGGTGCCGCTGACAGAATACAATGGAAACAGCTGCTGCTGCCGCTATCTGTTATTTTTTTTAATTCAGCCCGTAGGATGAACAAAACAAGTATAACAATGTATAACCCTACTTAACTCTCTCTGTAGTGACTGGCAGTGTCAACTGTGACAATACGTGTCATTGATGTTAACATGAAGAATGTATCAAAAACATGCAGGAGTAGTGTTGCCAGCATAGTCAGTACTCTACTAGGCAGCAGTGCTGGGGTTAGCTATAGTAGCAATAATAATAACAACCACAATTATATTTTATATTATGATAAAATGAATAATCTTCCTGCACACACTTACTCTTCAACACTAATACAGATTGCTTTAAACTCTTTTTTGTAGAACCACAAACCTCAGTCCTCCTATATGATATACAAGGTGAAACTTTGGGATTTGGGACTGCATTAGGCATACAGGGTTAATGGGTCTGTAACAATAAATATACACTGTTCAGATAGATAAGCAAATGCTTCTTACTGCACAGAGAGAGAGAGCTGTGACTAGATGATCCTGAGGTCTGATGTCAGTCCTTCTATACTGGAACCTTCTATACTGGAACCTTCTATACTGGACTCCCTAATGAACTCCCTACTACCCCCAGGTCCCATAGCAGCTGAGGGGACTGTTATGGCGATTGTTGTGTCACTGCAATAGTCCATATATTCATTTACTTTTGGCTCATGCCCAAATACTCACTACTACATGCAGCGGTTGATGCAATGTTAGCATTCAACTATAAACAGAGCCAGTAGAATTTAAATACATTGGAATCGTGAATGCTTCTGCAAAAAAAAAGAGCCTTTATTCAAAATTAATCTATACACAGACAGTTACCCCAGCCACGAACAATCATTTCATGTGTCAAACATGGGCATCTACAAGTACCTAGCACCGAGAGGCACACAAAATTAAATTTGGTAGTTGGGGAACTGGTGATTTTTGTGGAAGAGTTGGAATTACATTTTATTTTTCTTGTGCTGTTGATATACAGTATATTATTATCTGGTTAGGTGGTTTCTCTGTATAAGACAATTTGTTTTTATTGTATTTAAGTAAAAGGAATCCATCCCCAACAAAATTTGCTTGGACAAGCTGCAGTTTAAGTAAAAGGAATCCATCCCCAACAAAATTTGCTTGGACAAGCAGCAGTTTAAGTAAAAGGAATCCATCCCCAACAAAATTTGCTTGGACAAGCTGCAGTTTAAGTAAAAGGAATCCATCCCCAACAAAATTTGCTTGGACAAGCTGCAGTTCACTAGTAGACAATGTAACAGCTGTCTGCCAGTGTCTGCATTAATGTTACAATGTCATACATATATTTCACTGCAGGTGAACATATTAAATAATATTCTGCAGTGCCTAGGTAGATACTAGTTTCAACACCTCATTCCATGCAGATTAAAACAACACCTGATATTTAACTAACAAGTGCCAAAACTATTTTAATACCCTAATGAACACTTTCCAATAGCTGCATAAATCTAATAACTATAATCACACTTTTACATTGATTCAGTCTGTTCTACATTATTGTGATCACACTTTATATGCAACAGATTGAGTGTATTTTTATTTAGCAGTAACTGAACATCTGCTCTAGATTTGGGTGTCCATTGCTACAGAGTGGATTTACTAAAGGAGTAGAGAGTTCATTTAGCAAAGTGAATGCTCACTTAGGTTAGTAAATAAGTTGAACCTATGTTCACTTTGAATAACCAATCATATGCAAAGGAAATTAAATTAATAAACAGGATTTTGGCGTGCATTGAAGTCAATGGCACCACAGCCACGTCTCCTGCCTGCAGTGCAATCGCCCGCACCGGAACACGTGGCACATCGGTGCCTGCGTTCCAGCCCATTGCGATCTGCAAAAATGCTTTCATTTTTGCTGATTGCACTGGACCAGAAATCAGGCACTGATGCGCCACCCATTCTGGTGCGGGTGATCTCATTGCGGGCGGGGGAAGTGGCTGTGGTGCCATTGACTTCAATGCATGCCAAAATCCTGTTTATTTATTTCATTTCCTTTGCATATGATTGGTTATTCAAAGTGAACATAGGCGCAACGTATTTACTAACCTAAGTGAGCATTCACTTTGCAAAATGAACAGGAATGAAAGGAATGCGATACTGTGCGTTCCAGAGGCTGACGGCTCTGGAACGCACTGTTTATGGTGTGAACCCGCCCTAAGCCAAGTAAATGTTCACTCCTTTAGTAAATCAAGCCAGTCCAGTTCTTAGAAAACTCATGTTATGTGTTATATGACAAATAAAAGAGATGGAAGCAGACAATGTCCAACTTTAAGGCAATAACCTTTAAGATTGCAGATCTATCTCCATTTATTTTCCTGTTAGTTGCAGCAAATCAGTGTAAAACAATAAAAGGTAAGTAACAATGCAGTAGTAAATTGTGACAGTGTAAAATAAGAGTGCTATCTAGAGGTGCTTCTAGGGAAACCTGTAGCTTTAAAAAGGTAACTGTAATATCAGGCTTGAGAAAAAAGAAAACAGTTTATTAACAAAAGCGATACATGAATAACTACTTGTTTCTTTCTGCTGCTGAATGCATGGTAGAGAGCTACTTTGAATAGTCTTTTCTTTTTCAGTTTGCAGCTTGCTTGTACATCGTTAAAACCTTGAGCTGGACCCAATCTTTTTGAGGGGTTTTTATATAAGAAAATGAAAGACCTGTTTGCTGTTGATTGTGGGCTGTACTAGTGTATTCCTCTACATAATAAAACACATTTAATTATTTTTTACCAGTCACTTTATATAACTGAACAACAGCTGGTGCCTGTCATATGCCATACTGCTGCACCCCAGTGTTTGATGTAGTGCTGCAAATGGGATTTATTAACAAGGGCTAAAGTAAAGAGCTTTTGTGAAACTGTGGATTAATAAACAGCAGTGCCTGTAAATTGCACATCCGTAGATCTGGACTTTAAGCCTCTGAAATGTCCTAATTGTTTCCACTTGTGTGAGAAAATTGAATTATGGATGCTGAATACAACCTACTCGATCAGAAAGCATTTTATTAAACCTCTTCACAAAAACTGTTGTTTCCTGATAACCGAACATAGTTATTGTAAAGAAAAAGTAACAGTGACAAGGGTTGGGACAAAGTGTAACACTGCAGGTGTGCTTGCAACAGTCATTTGTATTGCCATAGCTAAACAAAATTCCGCAACTGCTGAAGCATCCTTGGCATTGTTAGAGTTTGTCCCAGGCTCTGTCACTCCCCCTTTTAAATAATATGTTAAACTGCATGTAGACATAGAAAAAAAAATAAAGTCTGGAATAAACATAGGACATAATGTCCTGAATAATTTCATTACACATATTAACCACATACAATTAGAAGAATACAGTATTTTTCATTAAAGCGATCCCTTCAAATATGAAATATTGACTACAGTGAGCAAGATAACATGACATTACTCCCTGAGATGTTCTAACAAAACATTCTTGTTGGTGACAGCATAAAATACCACTTACGCAGACTGGGTATAAGCATTCCAGGTATTCAGTTATACAGAAACATCCTGCCTCTTGTCCACTGCATGACTATAGATTACATAATTGATCTGATAGCTTATCACTGGGGGATATCTGCAAATTAAGAATTCTACTAATTAACAGTAATTTATAGAGTGTGGTGGCTGGTTACATACAGTTAGTTTTACTGGCTTAATATAGCTTTGCAGAATATTGTCTTTCTTCATCTGTCACTGCATGCTGGTGGCATTCTAAAGGTCCTGCAGATGTGAATGGAGTGATTGTCTCTAGTGATATCTCAGCCTCACATTCAAACTGAACACCAGCAGGCAATAATAAGTTCTTTTGGCTCCTATTCCCATGTGAATTGGATATAATAGACACTCTGTCAAAACAATGCCCCTCCAAGTCCTCCTGATCTTGAGTCACCACATTGGGAAGCTGAGAGTTGTTGAAAGTTACTGGTATATCCTTCTGGAAGGTGGTGTCATGGTGGTAAGACACCAGTTCATTGCTGAAATTTACAGCTTCTACATTTGTGCTAGAACAGAATCTATTACATCCCAAAATGGTGGTGAAGGCTTTTCTAAAATCGGCATTAAATGCATAGATGACAGGATTTAAAGAGGAGTTCGCCCATCCGAACCAGACAAATATACTAAAAGTGGTCTCACTGACACAAGGGGGCTCTGGGTCACTGTCACTGGGGAGATCAACGTGGCAGAAAGGGACCATGCAGTTCAGAACAAAAAATGGCAGCCAGCAGAACACAAATACCCCCATAATGATAGACAAGGTCTTCAGGACTTTGGTCTCCTTCCTAAATGAGGTCTTCAAGGAGTTGTCATGATGACAGTCTGGGTGGCAGCTCTGAGCGTGCTCTACAGCTTTTTCCAATGAAGAAATCCTTCTGATTTGAGTCTGTGCTATCCTGTAAATTCTGGTGTAAGTCCCGATCATGATGACCACAGGTATGTAGAAGCTTATTAGGGAAGACGCTATGGCATAAGTCCGGTTGAGGCTGGAGTCACAGTTCTCTGTCTGGTTGGTGGTATCACGCTCCATATCAGTCTCTTGGGACTTATGCCAGCTAAGTTGCACAGGTATAAAGGATATAAGGATGGATAAGGTCCAGGCTACACCTATCATGACGAAAGCTACTCTCTGAGTCATTTTTCTTTCATACCTGAATGGACTGGCTATAGCCCAGTAGCGGTCCAGACTGATGATGCACAAGTTCAGGATAGAAGCTGTGGAGCACATTATGTCAAAGGCGATCCAGGTGTCACAGAAGTCTCCAAACAGCCAATACCCTGCTACTTCAGTGACTGCCTTCCAGGGCATCACCAGCAGAGCTACAAAGAGATCCGACACTGCCAAGGAGATGACAAAGAAGTTGGTCACCTTGGACCTCAGGTGTCTGAACTTGATGACAGCCAGGCAAACCAACGTGTTTCCCAGAAGGGTGGACAAGATGAGCAGGGACAACAGCAAGCCCGTCAGGGCTCGGAGGCTCAAGTCTGTGCCAGCCACATCTAGATCTTCGTTCAACACGTGGATGGTGACATTGAAGGAGGAGAGGTTTTCCATGAGGTGACCACCGGGCTCCACTTCCCCAGAGCTCCTGGTACAGTCAGCGAGCACCATAGCAAAGCATGTTGACCTCTAAATGTAAAATCTCCAGCCAGTTCTAGCCAATTCAAGTCTCTTAACAGTACATTTTGGCTATTGACAGTTAGTAAAGAAGTCATTAGCAGCCTCTTATTTGATCAGTTCTTGCAAGGATCCCGTTTAGATGAAGGCAATAGCAATTTATTCCCAAATAAACACAGAGGTTAGCACATAATCCACAGAATACAAACAAGTTAAGTATTTAAAGAAAATGTAATTCCCCATTGATTCCATAAAGTCATAAGAATCCAGCGGTTCCCTGAGATGTGTGCTGTGTTCAGCACCTGGACAGCTCCTAGAGGTGGTCTCCATCCTTTGCTGAATGGACGAGATGTAGCAGCGTCCTCCACTGGTCAGTCTCTCCTATACTCGTCAGGTGTCCTCCTCGCTGGCTGCATCACCCCCTCGCTGGGATTATCAATCACATACTGGCTGCTACAGAAATGCTCATGACTGAGGATTGGGCTGGTTTAAAAATAGATCCCTAGTCATCTTCAGTGGAGCAGGTTCTCATCTATACGGAGTGTGTTTCGTGTAATCTCAGCACAGCCAGAGACTCTACTAGTGTGTAATTCTCTCATTCATTTCACAATACTGTTTTTTTTTTGTATTTTCTGACATAAATTAACCCCTTTCACTTTCATTGGTATAGGTTGTAAATCAGTGGAATATAGGACACAGCTCTTAGATTTATATTCACTTATTATAGCATTTGAAATAATATAAGCTCATGAAAGCAAATAATGTAAACCTTAGCATTTATAATGTTAAGACTAAGAATCAGTACATGAATATAATCAGTTGGCCAGAAAGTGAGTGTATCTAGAAGGATGTCTACTATAGATAAAAGGGGGGCGGGGGACTGATATGTACTGAATGTATTACTGACGTTCGGCTGTATACCGTTTTGAGCTGTAGGTGGCAGTGTAGTGCAATGATAGTCTCTCTATATACATGCTTATCTAGGATACACAGGACGTTCCTTTCTATATATGTTTCCTTTTCAATGCTGTATTCACATGTAATATCCTTCTAAACTAGTAAAAGTTAATTCAGCATTCCTCAAGATCTCAGTGCTTCATCTAAACAACAAAAAGACCATTAAAAAGCCATAGGCAAATAATATTTAGGGGTTCGTCAGTTTAAAATCCACTTCATGATCCAGTTTTGGCAAGAGCAATCCTAGCATCCTTTGCAAGAAACAGGTTGTGTAGCTGTCACACTCGCACCCGGCACCTCCGGCCTCTCCAGCGACGCGTCGCGGCGGCCGTGACGTCATGCGGGGCTCCGCCCCCTGACCGCGGCTTCCTCTCATAACCGCAGCGGAGGCAATCACTCGGCGTTCAGTCAATGTGGAACGTCGAGCATTGTCTTCCGCTGCTTCCACTGAACCCGACCGGCTCCCCATGCTCCACAGCCTGGATCTCCTCTGGGACACGTCCCACCACTACAGAGCCACTCAGCCCTTGCAGGAAGGAGCGATTTCTCAACATAGAGAACCACAACCTGTGCTATTGCCTAAATCCATCCATACTGCTGGAGTATTGCCTGTCTGTGCTTTGCCTAATAGACCCATACTGCTGGGGTATTGCCTGTCTGTGCTTTTGCCTAAATAGAACCATACAGCTGGAATATTGCCTGTCTGTGCTATTGCTTAAATTGATTCATACTGCTGAACATATTGCTGGAGTATAGAATCATACTGCTGGAATATTGCATGTCTGTGCTATTGCTTAAATTGATTCATACTGCTGAACATATTGCTGGAGTATTGTCTGCCTGTGCTTCTGCCTAAAGTTATCCATACCGCTGTGGAGTAGTGTCTCCAGTTGTTACTAGCTATACTGACGGAGCATTAGAGCTGTTACATTGCTAACCATAGTAATAGGAGCTTCATAGGACTGTATATACCAGGAGTGCGTACTTGCAGAGACAAGTCTATAATTTTGCCACTTTATAGATCATTGGTTCGACCTCATCTGGAGTACGCGGTCCAGTTCTGGTCACCAGTACTAAGAAAAGATGTCCTTGAGTTGGAAAAAGTCCATCGAAGGGCAACCAAACTAATTAGGGGTATGGAGGACCAGAGCTACGAGACGAGGCTACTAAATTTAAACATGTTCACATTAGAGGTGAGGAGATTAAGGGGGGATATGATTTCCATGTACAAAATGTTTAATGGTGGTAGCAACATTAGCGATAAACTGTTTAAAATTAACTCCGTTACAAAAACTAGAGGCCATCACCTAAAATTGGTGGAAAAAAAATTCCAGCACAAGGGGCGAAAGGGGTTCTTCACAGTAAGATCAGTTAGGGTCTGGAACTCACTGCCACAGGCGGTGATTTCAGCAAATAATGTGGAATTGTTCAAGAAACTTTTGGACGATTTCTTAAGGGACCGTAATATACAGGGGTAC